ATCATTTAAAAATATATATAGAGTCAAGCTTCTTTATTTCAGCATCCCAAGGGATTAGAATTTTTGGTTGAATTAAAGTTGGTGATGTGTGAATTCTAATTGGTTAAAATACCTCTATACTTGATAAGGCACAATTTGGATTATAGATTATAAACACAAGGTAATAAGACCAAATCCGAATAAATATAAAGTGTGTGACGTTTCAGTAACAGCGTTGTTACCATCTTCAGACAAAAGTACTGAATGAAGTATTTTTGTCTGAAGATGGTAACAACGCTGTTACCGAAACGTCACACACTATTTATTTGGATTTGGTCTTATCACCTTGTGTACTACTATACTTTAATTCAACCATTTTTAAAATCCCAATCACAAGCTATTTTCTTTAATTTAACGGACTATAATTAAACACTGGCTTTAAAATTCAATTGAAGATCCCTTTTGATGTTAAATTAAAGAAGACTTTAAAAAATAGGCTGAGATTTGGATTTGAAAAACTATTGAATTAAAGTAAGTGTTGAAATTACCTGTGTGTCTTAATAAAGGCTTTTGTGTGTGTGTGTGTGTGTGTGTGTAAGTGTTGAAATTTGTAATAATTATTTTTGGCAATGTGTTTCTTTTCCCACATATATCATCAAATATTATCTCTACAGACACTTACCTTTTAGTAAGATGTGTAGAGATAATAAACACAAGGTAATAAGATCAAATCCAAATAAATAAATAGTGTGTGATGTTTCGGTAACAACTTAGTCTTATTATCTTGTGTTTATAATCTACTAGCCGAATGACCCGGGCAACGCCCGTGTTTTACCCGATTGAATGTTTTGATTCAAATACTATTTGTTACAATTATAAATTGGCGCCTTAAATAAATGCATATTTTAGTTAATAACTATAGCCTATGTGCTTTATCTGTCTATGTACTGTTGGCTTCCGTAGGCGTCTCTTACTGGGAAAAAGAAAGAGAGGATTCCATTTGGTTATTAACTAATATATGCATTTATTTAAGGAGCGACCCGCTCCAACACAATAGTTACAAAAACGAAAAAGCAAGTGGGGGGGGGGGGGGCAAAGGTGGCGTGAGCGTAGCCAACCAATAGGAGGGCGCCATTCCAAAAAATAAAGTAAACGGTAACAGAGACGAAAACTGATTAAGAGATGAAGAATGACGCTCGTAACTGTATATAGAATAATCCAAATTGTGCCTTATCATGTAGAGATATTATTTGATGTTTGTGTGAAAAGGTTGCCACAATGCCAAAAATAATTATTATAAATTTCAATGATAGATGGCAATTGAATTTTAAAAGCAATTGTTGAATAAGGATATTTTGGCAGTTGTTTGAAGAGAGGTGTTACTATATGTGTGGAAATATGGGAAAACTGCAATTTGACAAGTCTCTGGAGACCATAAATGATGTACCTCCTATTTCTTTGTCCTTTGCAACAATTCAGTGAATAACTGTGGGGTTGTTGATATGTAAGATAAGGTCAATGTTTTGCTCTGTATTGACCTATTCTTTCTTATCTCTAAAACATCATGACTGGGTGAAGTAGAATGTGTCTGTCTTTGTCATTAAGACTGGGAGCATTACTCAGTGGCAGGCAGACTTAGCTCTAAAAGAAATGGCCGCCTCTGACATGAGGAACAGACGCCATATGCAGCTGCTCCTAACATGGAGTACAAACGCTGCTCATCCTGTATCCCTGGATTAGGAGACCTTACAGGGTACTATCAGCCGGGCCAGCTGAGCCCAGGTTTTTTACCGAGCTTGTTATTGCTCCTCCTCCTTCTTTTTCATCCGGGCTTGGGACCGGCAAAGGTGGAGTTTATTGGCCTATTGACCAACTTCTTGACTCTCTATCATTGTCATGACAGTAGAGGATAGTTGATGTAGGGTGTTGTCTCAGGAAATGCTTCAAGCTGTTGTAGTTTGTAGACATCTTTATTAGCAGAAAAGAATTGCTTTTAACGAAGATGTGTTTTTTATTATTTACTCATCCAAAATGATAAATTTAATCTTAACCATGGTGAAAATATCAGGCTTCCAGGGATAAGTTTTATTTTCAAACATGAACACAAAAGCCCTTCTACAGGAGAAAACACTCTACAATAAATCTCCAATAGGACTAGAGTTAAAATTAAGGTAATAAGACCAAATAAATAAATAGCGTATGACACTTTGGTAACAGTGTGGTTACCGATAGTCACACACTATTTATTTATTTGGATTTGGTCTTATTACCCTGTGTTTATAATCTATAATCCAAATTGTGCCTTATCATAGAGTTAAAATCAAATCGAATAACTGTAAACACCCCCTATGTATTTGGATTTATTTAAACTCTAGTCTTATTGAAGATTTATTGTCACTTTAGTCAAGGTTTCACTATATCTCACCATGGTTCCCTTAATGGGGATTATTTTAGATTGGTTAAAGGAAAATATTCACTACATCCCTGGTTTGTTTGATCAGAGTTTTACTGTAGTTGACTGAATTACTTAATTGGGTTGGAATTACTGGTTAAATTATAGTATATACAGTAGAACCTCCCTGTAAAGGACAATACCTAGTTGCAGAGCCAAAGTGTCCTTTAGAGAAAGGTGTCCTCTTACCAGAGAGTTGATAAATAGTAAAAATGGTAATTTTTGCAATTGCAAACTATTCTTTGTAGAGAAGTCCTCTAGCGCGAGTGTCCTCTCATGGAGGTTCTACTGTATTGAATTAAAGAGGTTATATAAAGTTTATATCACTACCCGCCTTTCATCAAAGAATTAAAGAGGAGTTAAAGAATTAAAACAGTAAACTTGAAGAAGACCCACACATAGAGAGAGAAGGAGTATTCAAAGATTCATTAAAACAAGTTTTTTTTTCCTTGTGAATATTGATAAGGCAGCCATGAGGTCATTATCTCGTTTTATCCAGAGTGAGTCACCCTCCTCCGTCATTACTACGAACACTTCCCTTAAATTGACATTCCTTTCTTTGTTATCTCTTCTTTAATTGCTTGTGTTCTTGGACCCCTGCCTATCTAGCCGGGAGTCTGGCTGGCTCGTTGGTGGTGGTGGGCTCCACAGAAGGGTTTAAATCTACTAACTTCTCTTCAATACCAGACATTTTACTCATTTTCTCACACATTGTAGTTTTTGTAATAAAAGAAAATCTCTTTTATTCTTTTGTTTGATGATGGTGACAATGTTATTGCCGAAACGTCACACACTAATAAATTATTTGGATTAGGTCTTTTTTTTTTTTAAATTATAATCTATAATCCAAATTGTGCTTTATCATGTAGATTTTGTGTTTGTTGATTCGTAGCAGCAAGAAAAGCAAAAAAATGTCTGGAACAACTAAGGAATAATAATGATGTACAATTAGGATTCTAGATAAGAATCACACAGAGTGGTAACACAAAACCAAATTCAAATAGGTAAATGTTAGTATCTAACGGGGGGGGGCATGTGTGTTCTCTCATTATTATTTATTTTGAAAATTCAAAACTATTATAGACGCGTATGATTCTTTTTAAAAATTAAACAATTTCTACTGCCCTTACTGCAATGGAAAAAAATCAGTGGTGAGCCAGGCCATTAATTTTTTCATTGCAGTAAGGGCAGAAGAAATTGTTTAATTTAAAAAAAAAATCATATGCTTCTATAATAGTTTCAAAATTTCATAACAGATGGCGCTCTAATACATCATAATATAATTATTCATTTTGTACTCATATATACAATTGACAATTCAAATTATTGTAACAAAGTATTTATTATTTTTATTAACAGAGTGGTCATTTTATATGTTTATATATTTGCTACTCTGTAAATTTCCCTCGTGGCTTATCTTTGGTTTACCATTCATAGTTTTGTTCTTGCCTGAAATAAATTGTTGTCTTATCTCGAAGTTGGTCTTCCCTAATTTTCCACATGGCAATATTTTATTGACTTAGTCAATTGTAACAAAAATTAATGAGAAATTAAACAAAGAAAATGATATTAATCACAATTTGATGATAAAATATAAAAAGTTGTTCTCAATGAAGGAGGTTGGACCATCTTGTCCTCCTCCAGTCAAGGACAGGATCTCTCAGTTCAATGTTGATACTTATATAGACATGTCTTGGCAGACGTCAGGATGGCCAGGGTGTTGTCATCCAGGCCTCACCCGAAGACCCAGCCCTGTAGGTCAGGGGGTCACCTGATGATGATAAATGCCTCCCAGATGAGAGGCCTGATACATCAATTACCTGAGAGCAGCTAATTGTTAAAATCATCTATTTGGCCAATGTAAACTGCCCTTTGTTAGAGGTATCCATCTAGTCATGAAGACTTTATTCTGTCTAATCAAAGAATAGTATCTCTCCACATGTTCAATATAGCATTGTGTTGGGATATGTTTATTACTTTCACATATAGAGTAAGAGGCCACTCCCCAACATTTACTAAATTGCATTGGAAAGGACAAAAGATCCCTGTACAGAGAACCAAGAAGAGTTCTTGAGCTTCTTTACGAGCACGACCTCCAAGATCTTGTCTAATTTAGACTAAAAGGATAAGTAAAAAAAAAAAAATATATATATATATAGAGTAGTATTTATCTTTAAAGGACAATACCTGGTGCAGAGCCAAAATGTTCTCTTACCTGAAAGCAGATAAAAAGCGTTACTTTTGCTGATGAAAACTGTGTATCTATGGAGGTTCAAGTATCCAATCAAAGAGTAGTTGCTACAATGTATGTTGCAGGATGTTGGAGAAGGTTGGTGGGAAGGTCTCAATGCTAGAGGGGAGGTCGGCCTGTTCCCAGCTGTGTACGTTGAGGTGAGTTGTTGGACATATACAGTTAAACCTGTCGCCCCCTCTAAATAGCGCCTTCCTCTCTATAGCACCCGATTTTGGTGAGTCCCAAGAGAGGGTGCTATAGACAGGTTTAACGGTATTCTCTCTTGTTCCAATTTATAATCTATGCCTGAATGCTTCTTTTTTTTTTTTTTTTTAAGAATAGTATGCTTTGTTGGGAAAGCATTAGACTAAAGATCTAAAGATACCTGTTTCAAACCCAGGTTTCGTCGTGTTTTTGTAGAGAATACTTTTACTGCCTCATTTGAATCGTTTATTTAAAAAAAAAAAAGAAATCTTTGTGAACAAATAGTTTCTAACTTTGAAATATATGGATGGCATACTTGTGTTGTTGTTACATAGTGAGGTAGATAACTGGTACATGTTCCAGCAAATACCAATCACAGCCGGACTGCCTCCACCCCAGTATCCTCCCCCTCAGCCTCCTGCTCCTGCTGTGGGAGATGATGATGATGAGTGGGATGATGAGTTTGATGATGACCTGGAGTATCCACAGAGCAGGGTAAGTTACCCGCCCTCAATCAATATTGACTTTAACTAACATAAACTTCCAATATGAAGCTGTTGACATTTGTTATATTTGCAAGGAAATTGTTTGAGTGCAGATAGCAGCCTTTATTTTTTTAATTATCCCATTGTATGTTATTGTATATACAAGTTGACTATGGAGACTAATTATACATCATTCACCCTTTATTGATTCAGTCTCTTGTTACCTTATATTTTGGTTTTAAGTTGAGGAAAATAAATCACAGTTACCATTGATTTTCAATTCAAGATTGAGCCAGGCGACCCAATTTTAAAGAACTTCAGTTTGTAGTCCTATTTCTGGTTAAATATGGCATTTTAGAATGGCGTTCTGGATCTTGGCCTTGAATGGCATTTGGTTCTAGTAAATGGAAAGAAGGGATCCTCTCTTTATAACCATGTTTTGGAAGTTTTCTGTCATGATTGCGAGGAGCTACCTGGAATAACCCGAAGCTATCTCTCACTAGCTAAGAAGTTCTCAAAAAAATAAGTTTTACCTTTGTCCAGTCTTCCCTCCCTTCCCAGGCTTCCATCCTGACCCCACAAACAACCTCCCTCCCTGTGAAACCTGTAAGACCCTCCCTTAGTTAGAACCCCTCCTTATAAAAGACACCCAATTGCAGAGCCAAAGTGTCTTTTAATAATAGGTGTCATCTTACTGGAGGGTTGTTAAATAGTAAAAATGAAAATTTTTCAAATAAAAACTGTCCTTTATAGAGAAGTATCCTCGAGCAAGTGTCCTCTCATGAAGGTTCTACTTTTGTCTGAAGATGGTAACATTGCTGTTACGGAAACGTCGCACACTATTTATTTGGATTTGCTCTTATTACCTTATGTTTAATATATTAATCTGTTCATTTTTATACACAAGTAAGGGATATATAGTCAAACCCCTCGTTGTAATAACCTCATTTGGGAACAAACATATAACCACAGATGAAATATTTGAGAACTGAGACCTCTTAGAAACAAGGGGATATCTATCTCTTTTGACTCTTTTTTTTTTTTACCATTGACTTTGTTTCGGGTCGATAAAATATCTTGAAATCTCTCTTGAGTGAACCCTCAGTAGTTGACAGTGTAACAAAACATTCATTATTTCAATTACAATAAAAACCCTCCATCCCTGTCTTGAGGTAACTTTAAAAATGAGGTAAAATTTTAATTTTTTTTTCAAGTTATTCAAGGGAAAAAAAAGGATTAGAGACCAGTTATCTTGATGTATATACTCTCTGTAGCAGAAAACTGTTTCTAAACATTAATTATGCAAGCAATAGTTACCCAGAAATTACTCAACACTGTTGTACTTGTGACTTTTTACTGTCTACTTGCTCAAAAACTTGCAAAAAACAACATTAAAAGAAACTTTTTACCAAAATTTTTCCCATTTTCAAACATTAATTATCAAATAAAAAGGGCATATATTGGATCAAAATATCATTTATTTTACCAATATTTCAGTTGGCTGAACGCCAACCTTTATCAAGGTATTATAACATTTTAAAAGTGTGTCAACAACAAACTCAGCACCACATCTGTTGTTAACACACTTTAAAAATGTTATAATACCTTGATTGGCATTCAGCCAACTGAAATATTGGTAAAATAAATGATATTTTAATACAATATATGCCTTTTTATTTAAAGATTTATTTATGGATTGCTCTATTTTCAAACATTAATTATAGCAGAGAGAGAGAAGTTTCACCTTAATTTGTTTATTTGGTCTTCCAGGCCATCTTATATTACAGAGCTGTTGGTGGCTGATCTCTTCTTACTCAGTATGTGGGAATTAAATAGGATTTTGGAGCATAAATAACACAGAGTTGCTGGATCACCCTTTGCACACCATGGAATTTGTGTAATCTTTACACAAAGGGATAAGAAACAACATAACATAGAGTATAATAA